GGTGGCTTTCCACCAGCCTTTGTCATACCATTCGATCCACTCACAACACGCTTCATCTTTTCATACGTTTAGAGTATTTTTTCAATGTCCATACACCCTTTCCTACGTGTTGAATAAGCATTTTGCAAGGCTGACGTACCCTCTATCCTCCCCATCTTCACCATCATTTATAGCGATGTTTATCTTCCCAAACGTTTCTGTTCGACACGTTTGATAGTATCTCGACCTTTTTTGTCGGAACAGTATTTCCACGTATCTATTTGGTGGCCTTCAAGTCTAAATTCAATCGCGGGATGCATTGTATGACAATATGCATTTTCATCCTGCCTCCACTTGTTCCAGAAGCTATACACTAAGCTATACGCGGATCCAGCATGATATTGTCAGACATCCTTGTGAACATACGGGAGTGTATGATGTTGTATACATTTCGTATCCATGGGAAAAGATACCATGACGGGTTGTTTTCATGACGTGCTTGGCCCACTGGAAAAGTCGACTTGGTCCATTTGTGTATATGTTGACTGGGTTGATGTGAAAAGGCCGAGACAGTTTGAAATCATTTGGAGAGGTTTGGAAATGGTTTGTAGTGGCGTATAGATAGATGGGTAGTAAAGTTTGATTTTCGCTGTAGTGTGTTGGTGTGTGTAAAGTTTGTGAGGAAGTGTAATGTCTGAAATGGGTTTGTATGTTTGCTGTGTGTGAGTGTGCAGTGGAGGGAAGTGTGCATGAAGCGCGCCATTGGTTTAGTGGTAAAATATCTCGTTGCCATCGAGATGCCCCGGATTCGATTCCCGGATGGCGCATCCCTTTTGCCTCTCTCGAGGTCGATTTTTCTGTCCTTTTTTCCTATTGGTGGCTTTCCACCAGCCTTTGTCATACCATTCGATCCACTCACAACACGCTTCATCTTTTCATACGTTTAGAGTATTTTTTCAATGTCCATACACCCTTTCCTACGTGTTGAATAAGCATTTTGCAAGGCTGACGTACCCTCTATCCCCCATCTTCACCATCATTTATAGCGATGTTTATCTTCCCAAACGTTTCTGTTCGACACGTTTGATAGTATCTCGACCTTTTTTGTCGGAACAGTATTTCCACGTATCTATTTGGTGGCCTTCAAGTCTAAATTCAATCGCGGGATGCATTGTATGACAATATGCATTTTCATCCTGCCTCCACTTGTTCCAGAAGCTATACACTAAGCTATACGCGGATCCAGCATGATATTGTCAGACATCCTTGTGAACATACGGGAGTGTATGATGTTGTATACATTTCGTATCCATGGGAAAAGATACCATGACGGGTTGTTTTCATGACGTGCTTGGCCCACTGGAAAAGTCGACTTGGTCCATTTGTGTATATGTTGACTGGGTTGATGTGAAAAGGCCGAGACAGTTTGAAATCATTTGGAGAGGTTTGGAAATGGTTTGTAGTGGCGTATAGATAGATGGGTAGTAAAGTTTGATTTTCGCTGTAGTGTGTTGGTGTGTGTAAAGTTTGTGAGGAAGTGTAATGTCTGAAATGGGTTTGTATGTTTGCTGTGTGTGAGTGTGCAGTGGAGGGAAGTGTGCATGAAGCGCGCCATTGGTTTAGTGGTAAAATATCTCGTTGCCATCGAGATGCCCCGGATTCGATTCCCGGATGGCGCATCCCTTTTGCCTCTCTCGAGGTCGATTTTTCTGTCCTTTTTTCCTATTGGTGGCTTTCCACCAGCCTTTGTCATACCATTCGATCCACTCACAACACGCTTCATCTTTTCATACGTTTAGAGTATTTTTTCAATGTCCATACACCCTTTCCTACGTGTTGAATAAGCATTTTGCAAGGCTGACGTACCCTCTATCCTCCCCATCTTCACCATCATTTATAGCGATGTTTATCTCCCAAACGTTTCTGTTCGACACGTTTGATAGTATCTCGACCTTTTTTGTCGGAACAGTATTTCCACGTATCTATTTGGTGGCCTTCAAGTCTAAATTCAATCGCGGGATGCATTGTATGACAATATGCATTTTCATCCTGCCTCCACTTGTTCCAGAAGCTATACACTAAGCTATACGCGGATCCAGCATGATATTGTCAGACATCCTTGTGAACATACGGGAGTGTATGATGTTGTATACATTTCGTATCCATGGGAAAAGATACCATGACGGGTTGTTTTCATGACGTGCTTGGCCCACTGGAAAAGTCGACTTGGTCCATTTGTGTATATGTTGACTGGGTTGATGTGAAAAGGCCGAGACAGTTTGAAATCATTTGGAGAGGTTTGGAAATGGTTTGTAGTGGCGTATAGATAGATGGGTAGTAAAGTTTGATTTTCGCTGTAGTGTGTTGGTGTGTGTAAAGTTTGTGAGGAAGTGTAATGTCTGAAATGGGTTTGTATGTTTGCTGTGTGTGAGTGTGCAGTGGAGGGAAGTGTGCATGAAGCGCGCCATTGGTTTAGTGGTAAAATATCTCGTTGCCATCGAGATGCCCCGGATTCGATTCCCGGATGGCGCATCCCTTTTGCCTCTCTCGAGGTCGATTTTTCTGTCCTTTTTTCCTATTGGTGGCTTTCCACCAGCCTTTGTCATACCATTCGATCCACTCACAACACGCTTCATCTTTTCATACGTTTAGAGTATTTTTTCAATGTCCATACACCCTTTCCTACGTGTTGAATAAGCATTTTGCAAGGCTGACGTACCCTCTATCCCCCCATCTTCACCATCATTTATAGCGATGTTTATCTTCCCAAACGTTTCTGTTCGACACGTTTGATAGTATCTCGACCTTTTTTGTCGGAACAGTATTTCCACGTATCTATTTGGTGGCCTTCAAGTCTAAATTCAATCGCGGGATGCATTGTATGACAATATGCATTTTCATCCTGCCTCCACTTGTTCCAGAAGCTATACACTAAGCTATACGCGGATCCAGCATGATATTGTCAGACATCCTTGTGAACATACGGGAGTGTATGATGTTGTATACATTTCGTATCCATGGGAAAAGATACCATGACGGGTTGTTTTCATGACGTGCTTGGCCCACTGGAAAAGTCGACTTGGTCCATTTGTGTATATGTTGACTGGGTTGATGTGAAAAGGCCGAGACAGTTTGAAATCATTTGGAGAGGTTTGGAAATGGTTTGTAGTGGCGTATAGATAGATGGGTAGTAAAGTTTGATTTTCGCTGTAGTGTGTTGGTGTGTGTAAAGTTTGTGAGGAAGTGTAATGTCTGAAATGGGTTTGTATGTTTGCTGTGTGTGAGTGTGCAGTGGAGGGAAGTGTGCATGAAGCGCGCCATTGGTTTAGTGGTAAAATATCTCGTTGCCATCGAGATGCCCCGGATTCGATTCCCGGATGGCGCATCCCTTTTGCCTCTCTCGAGGTCGATTTTTCTGTCCTTTTTTCCTATTGGTGGCTTTCCACCAGCCTTTGTCATACCATTCGATCCACTCACAACACGCTTCATCTTTTCATACGTTTAGAGTATTTTTTCAATGTCCATACACCCTTTCCTACGTGTTGAATAAGCATTTTGCAAGGCTGACGTACCCTCTATCCCCCCATCTTCACCATCATTTATAGCGATGTTTATCTTCCCAAACGTTTCTGTTCGACACGTTTGATAGTATCTCGACCTTTTTTGTCGGAACAGTATTTCCACGTATCTATTTGGTGGCCTTCAAGTCTAAATTCAATCGCGGGATGCATTGTATGACAATATGCATTTTCATCCTGCCTCCACTTGTTCCAGAAGCTATACACTAAGCTATACGCGGATCCAGCATGATATTGTCAGACATCCTTGTGAACATACGGGAGTGTATGATGTTGTATACATTTCGTATCCATGGGAAAAGATACCATGACGGGTTGTTTTCATGACGTGCTTGGCCCACTGGAAAAGTCGACTTGGTCCATTTGTGTATATGTTGACTGGGTTGATGTGAAAAGGCCGAGACAGTTTGAAATCATTTGGAGAGGTTTGGAAATGGTTTGTAGTGGCGTATAGATAGATGGGTAGTAAAGTTTGATTTTCGCTGTAGTGTGTTGGTGTGTGTAAAGTTTGTGAGGAAGTGTAATGTCTGAAATGGGTTTGTATGTTTGCTGTGTGTGAGTGTGCAGTGGAGGGAAGTGTGCATGAAGCGCGCCATTGGTTTAGTGGTAAAATATCTCGTTGCCATCGAGATGCCCCGGATTCGATTCCCGGATGGCGCATCCCTTTTGCCTCTCTCGAGGTCGATTTTTCTGTCCTTTTTTCCTATTGGTGGCTTTCCACCAGCCTTTGTCATACCATTCGATCCACTCACAACACGCTTCATCTTTTCATACGTTTAGAGTATTTTTTCAATGTCCATACACCCTTTCCTACGTGTTGAATAAGCATTTTGCAAGGCTGACGTACCCTCTATCCTCCCCATCTTCACCATCATTTATAGCGATGTTTATCTTCCCAAACGTTTCTGTTCGACACGTTTGATAGTATCTCGACCTTTTTTGTCGGAACAGTATTTCCACGTATCTATTTGGTGGCCTTCAAGTCTAAATTCAATCGCGGGATGCATTGTATGACAATATGCATTTTCATCCTGCCTCCACTTGTTCCAGAAGCTATACACTAAGCTATACGCGGATCCAGCATGATATTGTCAGACATCCTTGTGAACATACGGGAGTGTATGATGTTGTATACATTTCGTATCCATGGGAAAAGATACCATGACGGGTTGTTTTCATGACGTGCTTGGCCCACTGGAAAAGTCGACTTGGTCCATTTGTGTATATGTTGACTGGGTTGATGTGAAAAGGCCGAGACAGTTTGAAATCATTTGGAGAGGTTTGGAAATGGTTTGTAGTGGCGTATAGATAGATGGGTAGTAAAGTTTGATTTTCGCTGTAGTGTGTTGGTGTGTGTAAAGTTTGTGAGGAAGTGTAATGTCTGAAATGGGTTTGTATGTTTGCTGTGTGTGAGTGTGCAGTGGAGGGAAGTGTGCATGAAGCGCGCCATTGGTTTAGTGGTAAAATATCTCGTTGCCATCGAGATGCCCCGGATTCGATTCCCGGATGGCGCATCCCTTTTGCCTCTCTCGAGGTCGATTTTTCTGTCCTTTTTTCCTATTGGTGGCTTTCCACCAGCCTTTGTCATACCATTCGATCCACTCACAACACGCTTCATCTTTTCATACGTTTAGAGTATTTTTTCAATGTCCATACACCCTTTCCTACGTGTTGAATAAGCATTTGGCAAGGCTGACGTACCCTCTATCCCCCCCATCTTCACCATCATTTATGGCGTTGTTTATCTTCCCTCTATTGAATCGACTAATTACCACATGCAGAGTCGGAATCAACAAAATTTGGCGGCAAAATTGCAAAATTACCATTAGATAAAGGCAAGCCTGTAGCAACTCGCCCTACATACTGATCGCCAGCTCCATTATAATGAATATGTCTTTCAGCCACTCGTCCTAGGGACCAACCACATTGAATGCATACATTTACAATAGATGGCCCAGAGGTGCTTCCAGAGATGACAAAGGTGGCAACACCTTTGCAAATTGAATGGGTACCAGTGTCAGCACCACAAACTTGATCAACATGAGCCACATTTCTTGAAAAACTCTTTCCAAATCTTTCACGCTGGCTGGGCCCAGGAAACAAAGCTCCAGATTTAAGTTGCGGATTACATGCTAGATATATATACTAAGAGCTTAGAACAACAAATCTCTGGTTTCAAGGGATGAGCGTAAATATGTTCAGGATCACGTCTCTTTTTCCATATTGATCCGTCTTTGACATGTAGAATGTGCATCCTAGGGCATCATTTTCAACAGATAAGTGTTCTAGGCAAGTTGAATCTGTTGATCTAGATCTGCACATTAAATTCCAAGGAAGGGATAAAAAAGATGCGTAAAGCCACCATCCATCAATGTGAGGGTGTGTTTGCAAAGCTCAGCATATTGGTTGATTTGAAGAGGACGTTTGCCACTATCTTTGATGGTTCCAGCCTATTCTTCGGCAGCACATCGTCTCTGTATTCCTACGATAAAATGAAGTATTTGGTTTAATTTTATATCTACCTTGGTACACGACTTTACAATCTGAGCTGAATTATGCTGGCAATGATGTCTGCATGAGTAAATAATAATCCTTATGGCTGAGCGATAGTTTCAGAGGGTTCTCAGTTTTGAACGGGAGTTCTGGAACTTCCATTCAATATATTTCGAGAAGTCATCATAAGGTCAAATCGATTGTGCTGTCGTCTGCTACCACAAACGACCTCTCTGACAAATGAAGCCACTTTATGATTTGCTTCAGGCCACTGTTGTAGCTCTACTTTGATTGCGGGGCAATTCTGCTGTCCCTCAAGTCGCTCAGGGTCGTCAACTTACGGCTTGACTCACCCATGAGTAAAAGCAAAATGACATCACTGACGACGAATCGCAAGCCGCAGATTTTTTGTCTGATTGTTTCTCCAAATTTCCCCCTTATCTTGAATTTTCTATAGTGTGTGTTTTTACACAATGGAAAAAGTCAGTCCATTTTTTTGACACTTACGGTTATTTTTCAATATCCGTCTGACTGAATGTGAATCCATGTTTTTCGATTTTGGATCGGATTTTGTGGTCTGATAGGCTGTGAATCAATTTTCGAGGGAATATTGTCTTTTTCACCCAATTTTGTATTGTTACATACACTCTAAATTGTGACCGGGGTGAAAAATGTATCTATTTTTCCAAATCTATTCGAAATCTATAGCCAATCAGAATCGAGTATTTGTCTTCTTCACAAAAACACACACAAAACACACATTCAAAACTTTACTTTATTGAATGTACTTTCATATTACACTTGAACTCACTATACCTGAATAGTATTTGAGAATATTTCAATTTTTTGTCAAAAAGTCAAATTTCAGTGAAAAAGACAATATTTTTCTACCAAAATTGAGTTCATTTCCAAATCGATTCCATCATACTGAAGTCAAGTATAAATGAAAAGTAACATAAATTGGCCAAATAAAATTCACGTGTGTATAGGTGTGTTTTGCGTGAACTTGGTAAATACTCGATTCTGATTGGCTGATCGATTTGCAGATCGATTTGAAAAATCGATACATTTGAGACCCCTCTCACAATTTAGAATGAAATCGACAATATGATACTGAGGAAGTTCTGGTCCTCTCGGGGTCATATCTTTAATGCTTTGGAGAGATGTTAAACGATGTTGCTGTCAGTATTTCCAATCTACAGACAATTTATAATGACGAACGAATACGTAGAAAAGACTCTCAATCAGAATGAGCGCATAAGGTTCTTATAGACTAATGTGGGCTTGTCTGGCCAGCTCCGTGAACACACCGCCCTCTTGAGCCAAAAGCGCCTTCGGGGTGTCGAACTCCACCACTGAACCACGATCCATCACCAAGATCTTGTCGCTGTCACTAATCGTGTCCAAACGATGCGCAATGATCAACATCGTCACGTCTCGAAAGCACTCTTTGATAGTATGTTGAATCAGACGATCCGACTCCAAGTCGATGTTGGCAGTCGCCTCATCCAAGACAACCACGCGGCTCTGTCGCAACAAGGCACGTGCAATACACAACAACTGCCGCTGACCCACAGACAGATTGCCTCCCTTCTCTGCCACTTGGAAGTCAAGACCACCTTCCAAACCATCGGCCAAGTGCACTTTCTTGAGCACATCCCACAAGTTCGCATCACTGGCTTGTTGGGATGGGTCAATGTTGAATCGAAGGGAGCCGCTGAAGATGACAGGGTCTTGCGGGATGATGGTGAGTCTTGATCGCAGAGTTTTCAAGTTGATTTTCGAAATGTCCACGTCGTCAATCTTGATACAGCCACTGGAGGCTTCGACCATGCGAAACAGAGCGACCATGAGCGTACTCTTTCCAGACCCAGTTCGACCGCAGATGCCGATTTTCTCTCCACCTTTTGCCTCGAAGCTCACATCTCGCAAGACCAAATCAAGGTGGTCTCGGTATCGCATGGAGTATGATTCGAATCTGATGGTGCCTTGTGTGGGCCATTGTGATGGGACTTCTTGACTTTCGGTGCAAGTATCACCTTCGGTGGTCAAGTGGTTGTAGTAATCAAGACGTTCCACACAAGTCATGATATTCTCGACCATGGACGAATGCATGGTCACTCTGGACAAGAAGCCTGACATTTGCGATGCATACGTGAGAGCCAACCCTGCCGCAGTGACGCCAATTGAGGACTTGGTAGCAACAGTTAGGAATGACACGCCGGCAAGAACAATTGCAGAGATCCAATCGAGTCGCATTTGTAGCCAACGTGAAGCGACAACATAGATCATGAAGTAGCTCAAATTGTGATCCAGCACTCCACGACTCTTGGCCGAAAAGCATCGTGTCATGTCAAATGCACGGATGGTAGCGAGTCCACTGATGGTTTCCGAAATCATGTTGATGACAGGAGTTCTTGTGACGCTTTCGAGACGCTTGAGCTCGCTCGATGAACGGCTGTAGAAGACTTGAATCCTCTGGAACATCCATATCAATGGTGCATAGACAATTAAAATATATGGCGACGTGATTGCACACACGACAATAACAGCAGCGATCTGAAACGAAAACTGGAGAGCGAGAACGCTGAAAAAAGCAAGGAGGCTGTCCGCTTGGTCCAAATCGCTGGAGAATCGATTGAGAATACGACCAATTGGCGTCACGTCAAAGAAAGTGTTGACTGGGGCTAAAACCACCTTCTCAAACAGTTGCGAGTGTAGGGCTCGAGATGCACGAACGCTGAGCGATACAATAAAGAGACTGCGCCAACAGAGAAGTGCTACGGATCCAAACGCCAGCACGCAGTAGATAATGACCGATCTGGTACTGTGGCCAGGATGGGCAGCCCAATGACCCATGAACCAATCTGTCATCACGACGGCGGCTTGGGACACTGAAAATGCAACAAGAATCGTAGCCAGCACCACAAGACCATTCCAACCAGTCGACTTGAAATAGGTGATGTAGACACTCGAAGCAATGGCGCCAACCGCTTGATCCTCTTTTTCGACGAGAGCGCCATCTTTAGCATCTGACGTTTCTGGTGCGTCAGGCAATGGAACAACAACCACATAGTCATCTTCAGCAACTGCAGCGTCGAAACTATTCAAGTGGGGAAACTTCTCCTTGATCAAGTCGAAGGAACCATCTCCAACAATTGTGCCGTCTTCCATGACAAGGACACGATCGGCCTTTGGGAGAAAATGATAGTGACTATTGAGCACAAGTACGACTGTCTTGTCAGCGAGAAGATTTTGAATGCACTCTTGAAACACTGCACCGGCAACATGCACGTCCAGAGCGCTGAGTGGATCGTCAAAGAGATAAATATCAGCATTTTCGCGGTACATGGCACGGGCCAAACTCACTCGGGCCTTTTGGCCACCACTTAGATTGATACCGCGTTCACCGATTTCCGTGGCATCGCCTTGAGGGAGAATGGCTAAGTCGGTTTTGAGCTGACAGGCAGCGAGAACACGGTCGTATCGATCTTCGTCAAAGTCATCGGCGAAGAGAATATTATCTTTGAGACTTGTGTGTTGGATCCACGGTTCTTGACTGACATAGGAAATTCGTCCAGCCACTCGCCGAGTGCCGCTGACTTGTTGGATTTCTCCCAAGATGGCATTTATAAGACTTGACTTGCCACTGCCAACAGTGCCAACGATAATCGTTAACGACTTGGGTGTGATAGTTAAATAGATGTTGTTGAGCGTCAAAGGGGTAGCAACCGCGGTATCACAATTTGTTGGCTCGCATGGATCGACGTTCCAGCTGAAGTTTCCGTCAGTGATTTCAATTGTCGCTGTCTCGCCAGCCTCAATTTGCTTGGTGTCGTCGATTTCATCTGACAGCAAAAATTCCCCCAGGCGTTTGCAAGACGCCAGCGACTCGTACGCCATAATAATAGATGTTGAGAAAACTGTACATGGGAGGCGAGCAACGTTCATGTACGCCAGAGTCGTAAATGCAACCGACGGCGTGAGAGTGTTGCCTTGGGCGGTGTAAACAGCGAGGCAG